CCCCAAAACCCCAAAACCCCAAAACCCCAAAACCCCTTTAATGTGATATAGTCGTCTAGTCGCGTGATAACTAAATCTGCCGGTTAATTAAAATAAATATTAAATTTTTCCGCTAAACAAAAACATTCACTACTTGAAATGAATCAGCAATAAAACTCATCAAGTGGCTCTAACGCACCTAGAAACGTTAGATTCAACGAGGCCTCTAATCTACAAGAACTCTCATAATCGTAAGTTATTTTATTATCTCCAAACTTCTTGTATTTATTAATATCTTAGAGTACTTCAGTCGCATCATCAGATGTCTGAGTACAATAGGAGAAGAGGACATATAGGCGGTGGAATAAACAAACTCCAGAATTCTTACACCTTTAACAATCTCAGTTCACATGTAAAATACTTATTGGCTTTCAAACTCAAACTAAATTTATGCTTTAGAGACCAGATGGACTTTCTTCTAGCAATATGATTGGAATGAACGCTGTCGAGGCTTCGAGTGGAACCTAGGTTTTATATGGAACTAACATTAATTCAAACGATGTGCAGTCTAAACTTAGAAACTTCATTACGAATTTCACACATATGGAACCTGATGATGAAAGATTTGATAAGAAGCCATTTTATTAGGAGCAGTTAGAGCAAATATTGGAAACTGAATAATACATCCTAGATGTCAACTGTGATCACATTTATGAGTTTGATCAGGGGTTATATGCACAACTTGAAAATTACCCCACTGACATTATTCCCATCTTCGATCTTGTTGTGACAGGCATGTTCAAGGAAATCTAGATGCAAAACAACGAGGGAGCAGAGGAAAATTAGGGAAGTGATCCAATTATCCAAGTTAGACCTTTTAACTTGAGAGTCAATAACAGAATGAGAGATTTAGACCCATCTCACATTGACAAACTCATTTCAATCAAGGGTATTGTTATCAGAAATTCAGATATTATTCCTGAAATGAAGGAAGCAAGTTTCAGATGCTACAAGTGCCAGTATGAGCATCAAGAATTCATTTAAAGAGGTAAAATATTTGAACCAGATACTTGCGAAAGATGTAAGAGCAGATATACCTTCTAATTGATTCATAATCACTGCTACTTCAGTGATAAATAGCATGTCAAGATGCAAGAAACTCCTGAAAGCGTTCCAGAGGGAGAAACTCCATACACTATTCACTTGTGTGCATACGAGGATTTAGTAGATTATGTAAAGCCAGGTGATAGAGTAGAAGTCATTGGTATCTACAAAGCCATGGGTGTAAGAGTTGACTCAAGCAAGAGAACTTTGAAGAATGTCTACAGAACATATGTTGATGTTATCAACTACGTAAAAGCAGACAAAAAGAGACTAAATATTGACACTAATCAAGAGATGTAGATTGACGAAGCTGCAGTTCAAGACTTAATGCTTTAAGACGAGCATCAAGAAATGTTCACTGATTCCCAGGTCTAAAAATTCAAAGAGTTTTCAAAAGATCCTTAAGTGATTGATAAATTAGTCGATGCATTTGCTCCTAGTATTTGGGAAAATCAAGATGTTAAAAAGGGTATTCTTTGTCAACTATTCGGTGGATGCAGCAAAGAATTCTCTCAAAGTGGTAGAGGTAGATTCAGAGGTGAAATTAATATTTTACTCTGTGGTGACCCATCAACTGCAAAGAGTTAACTGTTGCAATATGTACATAAAATTGCTCCAAGAGGTATTTATACCTCAGGTAAGGGAAGTTCTGCAGTTGGTCTTACAGTCTACATTACTAAAGACCCAGAGACAAGAGAAATTGTTTTAGAAAGTGGAGCATTAGTACTTTCTGATAGAGGTATTTGTTGCATTGATGAGTTCGATAAGATGGATGACAACACAAGAGTCATTTTGCATGAAGCAATGGAGCAATAAACAGTATCAGTAGCCAAAGCTGGTATCATTTGCACACTCAATGCTAGAACAGCCATTCTTGCAGCTGCTAACCCTGTAAACTCAAAGTATGACCCAAAGCTCTCAGTCGTTGAAAACATCAAACTTCCACCAACTCTTCTCTCTAGATTTGATTTGATCTATCTCATCCTAGACAAGCAAAGCGATGCACATGATAGAAGACTAGCTAATCATATTGTTTCACTTTATTCAAGTCACCAAAAGAAAGGTGAGGAGAATATCCTCAATATGAGCAACAATGAGAACCCTGTTCTAAACACTGACCTCATTAAAACTAACTAGGGCATTACTAGAGAGTTCTTCGCTTCTTACATTTCTTATGCTAGAAGATTCATATCTCCTAAGATTACAGACACTGTTGTTCCAACTCTGGTTTCAGCATACACGAACATGAGAAGTTTAGGTAATTCTAAGAAAACCATCACTGCTACACCTAGACAACTTGAATCAACCATTAGACTAGCTGAAGCTATTGCTAAAATGAGATTAAGCGAAGTAATTGAAGTGAGAGATATCGAAGAGGCTGTTAGATTGATAAAAACCGCTATGTAACAAAGTGCTACAGATCCAGTTACTGGAGAAATCGATATGGATATTATTGCTACTGGTGTTTCTTAATCTTCAAGTGAAAGAGTCAAACAAGTCATTCAAATCGTTAAGAAGATCTATGTAAGAATTACTCATTAATTTTAATTCCTATTAGGAGGACCATCAGGATAGAATCAAGCTAAAGAAATCAGGTATTCCCTACGCCTTATTATTCGAATATGTTCAAAAGAAGTTCAATGAGCAAGCAGTAAGTTGTTTTTATGTAATAATGATGTTTAGAATTAAAAGAAGGTGCAAGAGAAGAAGTTGAATGAAGTTGAGGTGAGAGACGCTCTGAGATAGCTCGAGGAGGAGAACGTGATCTCGACCTATGGTAACACCAAAATGCCAGTAATAAGATTTATCACCGAATGAGCATTATCTATGCATGCAGTAAAAACCACTAACCTTGTAGTAAATGATTATTGATTAAGAGTCTTATATATTTATGAATAAATTTTCATTGGCTTTATAACAATTTCATATAAACAATTATGTGATTAACTGGTTAAGATAAATAGTCGATATATTACCACATCACACCCCTCTCATACTTGCAAGATTTTGAGGAGATTGGTACTACCCTCTAGACCCTCATTAATTCCAGTTGTTACAACGACATGGTCTCCTTTTTTAATCAGTCCACGCTTCATTGCCTCTTTCTTGATTTTGTCCAATAGACTCTCAGCACCGATAAGTGAGCCCACTAGCAATGAGAAGATGCCCTTAGAGATGATACATTGCTTGGCAGACTAGTCACTGGCTGAGACTGCAAGGATCGGACAAGAAGGTCTGTACTTAGCTACAGTGATAGCTGATTAACCTGAATTAGTAAAGACTATGATGAGTTTGGCTTTGATTTCATATGCAGCCTTTACTGCGCAGTTGCTGATAGCCTCGCTGATTGAAAGTTGAATTTTCTCTTCAAATATTCTCCTATTAAGATATTTAATTAAAAGTTAGAGTTATTACCTTTGAAGTTCATTGTAGTTGCTTTCATAGTCAATGTGACGTTCTGCTTCATAACATATCTTTGACATTGTTTCGCAGGCTTCTTTATAGAACTGTCCAGTTTGAGTTTCAGATGAAAGTAAGCAACAGTCAACACCATGATAAACAGCATTTGATATGTCTGATACCTCAGCTCTGGTGGGTCTCAGTCTGGTGACCATGCTCTCCATGATCTGAGTCGAAAGAATGACTGGCTTGCCGGCTTGATTACACTGATTAATTAGATATTGCTGCACGAATGCCACATCTTCAATGCTCAAGTCTAATCCTAAGTAACCTCTGGCAATAATGATGCCATCTGCGGCTTCGAGGATTTCAGCAAAGTTCTCCATCGCCTTGCGGTTCTGGATCTTCGCCAGAATCTTGATGTGGCGACCCTTGATACTCAGGAGTTCCCTCACCTCCAAGATGTCTTGCTTGCCTTCTACATAGGACACTGAGATAAAATCAACTCCCAGCTTGATGCTTTTGTTTATATCAAGCAAGTCTTTTCTGGTGATAAGAGGTAACTCGAATTCCTTCTTGTGGTCGAAGTCCGGGAAGTACAAAGGCTTGTGAGGCTTGATCTCACAGTCAAATTCTACCTAACATCTTATTACTTTTCTGTCTTTCTTGACAATCTTCTTTTTCCTGTTTCTGATTGACAACTGTGAGCCTCTTTGACTGCCTTTTCTGGGTGGAAGTAGGTCATTTTCTTAGGGTGAAGCCATATTTAGGGCAGATCCTACCGTCTTAAAAGCACCCATAGACTTCTAAGTTGGCAATTCCTTCGAATTACTGTTTTATTTAGCAGCTTCCTAAGTTTCTTTATTTTCTAGAGATTCAATAGTAACAACAGCATTTGGATTAAATTCCCTCTTTTACTCCTCATCAATGACATCTAGATTATCATTATCATTCATATGCTAATCTTCCATCCCTGGTAGCTTATAGGTCTAGCTCTTGTGTATGCCTCTAGTTCTAACTGGCTCGGGCGAGTCCTCATCAGACCGCAGTTTATTCGGAGACTCCTCAACTCTAGGTATTAAACCCTTTACATCTTCTATCTTCTGGGAAGCAGCAGCATGCTAATTGATTTTATTTTGGAACCTAGTCTTGCTTTGCAGTGCATTTTAAAAGAACTCTTTTTCAACTCTTGACTTCTCAGCATGACTGGCTTGATAGACATCGTCGAATCTGACTTTAAATTTCTTTTTTTCCTGCAATTTTTCTTGAATCTTTTCCTCTTCAACCACCTCCAGCTAAGTCCCGAAATTCAACTGTCTTTCAGGTGATTGCAAATCTTATTCCTTAACTGAATCAAGCTTGATATTATCAACTTCTGAATCCATTTCAAGTGTGTCGGCTCTGCCTCTCTCTAGATTGATCTTAACATTTTCATAGCTACAAGGACTGATAACTCTTTGGTTGAATAGCATCAGAGGTGATTGATCGATTTGACTCTTTTTAAATAGCTCATGTCGTCCTAGCTTCTAGCCTTAGAAACTGAGCGAAGACTTATTACTCCTCACTACTCTAGAGCCTCTAATCTATATAAAATTTAAGTTTTATTTAAGTATATTCTTACATCTAGACCTTCAAGCTATTTACTTGCCAAGAACTCATCCTAATCCTCAAAGCCAACAACTCTTAAGCTGACTGCTCCAAAGTCAATAATAATGTGATCATTCACTTTCAATTTCTAGGATAGACCTTTAAAGTCAACTGTAGCAAAAGTAGAATCACCATTTATCTTTCGCTTACACAGAATTTAATACTCCTAACCAGCTTTTAAGTGTACCTAGTATACGTAAGTAAATAAATTTATGTTTAGTTTACAGATGGCTAGCCTCTAAACTCACATGTCCTGATTACTGGGCCTTGCAGATCAATCAGAATGCCCGCTCTTGTCTTTGTGATCTTCTCTGCAGTTCTGATCCACTCGACTAACTCCTTCATTTCCTTCGTGTTTATGATACTCATATTGATTCTAAATATCTAACATCCTGCCCTCAATAGCTTGCATATCGCTTCCTATTTATAATTGAAAACTCTCATGTAATTACAATGTTTCTAGTATACTTTCCAAGAGTGCAGATGATCTTGGTTTTTCTGAACAAAATATCATCTCTAATTTTATCCCCCTATTGCTCATTTTGATACTCCTCGTTCATCTTAGTGAGATAGCTTTACAATGCCTTCTTAGAGTTGTCCTCAGTTTGCTTGGATTTAAACCAATCAATATTCGAGATGTTTCTGGAGGCTACATTTCTTCTGCTTTCCTAATCGACTTCTGAGGTCTTTTGATCTTCCATGATATTATATTCTTTGATTTGTATGACGATATATTTTAAACTTTATAATAATTAATTCTTTCATTGATAGATGGCTATCTTGTGTATGTGGGGTTTTGGGGTTTTGGGGAGATCGGAAGAGCGTCGTGTAGG